CACCAGTACAATATGATCAATTCTTAGAGACTCAGCAATGATCCATTATAAAATAATAATTTACACTAGATAATTGAAGTAATAAAAATAAAAGGTTTGTAAATGTTTCATTAGATTCAATAACAAGTAATGAATAACAAGTGAGTTGTTTGTTTGTTTTTCTTTGTTTATAAAATAAACAATCTCATGTTATTATTTTGATTGACAAAGTTGTTGACTCAAGTTCTGATTATCATAGTTTTGTTTTAATGTTTTATCTCTATCTGTCATCTAGAAATCTACAAGTTCTCTTAATAATAATGATCAATACAAAGGTATGATGAGATATGTTTAGAGTATATTCTCAATTGTTAATTATATAGTTTTAATAGTTGCGATCATGAGTCAATTGAAGCTAGACTACTATGGAAAACCTGGAAGCACTGGATGATCGTTTCGTTCTATTATGGGACTCCTCAGCATTGTGCATCCAAGATCCCTGATAGGTCCTGTGCTCGAATCTCACAAGGCAGGATCGTAGATGCTCACTACTTACTTACTTACGGCTGTTACTCCTCGTGAAGGAGCATAGGCCACTCACCAGCGTTCTCCATCCAACCCTGTCCTACGCAATCCTTTCCAGCTCATTCCAGATCTTATTCATCCTTTTCATATCTGCTTCTATTTCTCGACGTATTTTGTTCTTTGGCCTTCCTCTTTTCCTCTTCCCTTCAGAATTCCAAGTTAGCGCTTGTCTCGTGATGCAGTTTGGTGATTTCTGTAATGTACATCCTATCCATTTCCATCGTTTTTTCCTAATTTCGTTTTCAGCTGGAAGCTGGTATGTTCTCTCCCACAGTAGGCTGTTGCTGATGGTATCCGGCCAATGGATGTTGAGCATATTGTGTAGACAGCTGTTTATAAATACTTGTACCTTCTTGATGATGGTTGTTGTAGTTCTCCAAATTTCAGCTTCGTATAGTAGAACTGCCTTGACATTCGTATTGAAGATTGTGACTTTGATATTGGTTGACAGTTGTTTTGAGTTCCATATGTTCTCCAATTGCAGGAATGCGGCCCTTGATTTGCTAATCCTTGCCTTTACGTCTGCGTCTGAACCTCCTTGTTCATCCATTATGCTTCCCAGGTATGTGAAGGATTCTACATCTTCCAGAGTTTCGCTATCAAGAGTGATTGGATTGTTGTTCTCCGTGTTGTATTTGAGGACCTTGTTTTTCCCCTTGTGTATGTTGAGGCTTACTGAGGAGTCCTACAATAGGACAAAACGGCCGTCCAGTGCTTCCAGGTTTTCCATGATGGTCTAGCTTCAATTGACTCATGATCTTAACTATTAAAATTACTATCATATCCACAAAACCCCTTTCTGATATTAATTATGTATTGGAAAAACAGTGCATAGTAAAAGTTGGATAAACATTAATTATCAAATTATTTTTAAAGGATAACATATATGTCTTAAAATTAATCTTGGTTGGGGTACTATCGAAAATTAAGAAGTGCGAAATGGTCGATTCGTCCTAGTACAATCGTACTCAGCAGTGCATACTCATAGTCCCGTCAGAGCTCGAACCTAGAACCTCTTGGTCGGCATCCAATGGTACGAAATCAGCTTCAACAGATTTGCAATGTAGTATGGTGATCATCCAGTTTCACTGGTAACAATGATTTTATACTGTATTTGTTTGAATTCCACCAGCCACAACTTTTTACTAGAAATCTAGGGATACTAAACAACGTGGGTTTTGTGGAGTGTTTTTTTTGGATATTTTTGTTGGATCTTATTGAGAGTAATTATGTTTATTAGGGTTTTTGGTTGACTTACGGTAAATTCTACGGACAACTGATGATTCTTGTGATACGGAGCAATGAATAAGAACCTGAATAAACCGGATGTCTGTCACATAACAATATTTTAACGTTAAAGATCAGCATGCTACTATAAGACAGAGAAGGTGGGAATTCCAAAGTAGCCTTATAGTTTATATAAAAGTAAAGAAAATTGTGAACGGACAACCGTCTTTATGTAGTAAAAGTGATGCCAACCAACCCGGCAACAGCAAATGTTATTGTCGAAATAGAAAATCAGAAAAATATCATCCAAGTTATTCGTTAAACAAAGAACTCACATATTATAACTATAAACTAGATAACTTGATCTCTTTTTAACAATTTTGAAAATAATTCGTATCATAAACCGACTTTAGATGGATAATAGTTAAAATTAGAAAGTATGGTCCTGTAGTGTCGGTTATTATGTTAAGCCCATATATATTATTCTAGCTTTCGGACAGCCCATTCTATTCATTCTACTTGAGTCACATTCTGACCTTGTTATTTATTCGTTTATCAATCTTGACTGTTTTTATATGAGCGTGTACGTGTGTGTGCATTTCTTATCCCATTACTCATCATATGTCTGTAACTTACTTTTGTGTAACTATAAATATTGATTAACGCTTGGTTAAATGGCAGTTGGCTGACCAACCCTCTCCACTCTGCGTCGTTCCTCTTCTCTTTATTCCGTTCGCTTTATATACAAAATATATGTATTCACAAGTCCATTCTTGTTATTCGACTTATATAATTCCGTTATTGACTAACGCGATTTAAGTCGATGAATAATATATGAGGATAGGCGACATATATATTTCAATAACAATCATTCATACGATCTAATTGGAGTCAGATCCACGGGGCCACTAAAGTGGAGAGCCCTTTCAACAAACATCGTCCGATCTAAACGACGACAAAATAACGGGCTCCATAGTCCATTATTTACAATTCCTATTAATTCGCTATAAACTGAAGTTGAATATCGGCAGTTATTCAATGTTATAGTGACTACCCTGATGTGGAGGTTCAAAGGTTGATGTTGTGAGTATGAACTGTCGAGGAGTCCCGTAGTTAGAGGAAATAACTAATTATTAGTCACTGGGTCTCCAGTTGATGACAATTCATCATGGAGAAAATAACAAACCGAGGAACTCAGAGAGTGAGCTTCATTCTGTTTGTGACTGGTTAGTTAAGTTTACTTGAGCATTCCCACTATTTATGTTTTGTCATCGAATATTGGTCGCTTTTGCAAATAAACTACAGTTAATTTTGCGACTGTATTCACTACTAATGTATCTGATTGAGGAGTTCACATACAATCGGAAGATTAAATAACCTACAAACTAATATCAGTTGTTTAATATATACTATTCAGTGTACGGATCACCATAATTTACCAATGATTATAGAAATCAAACGTTCTGACCAGTTTGCCGTTTTTTTATTATACATACCGTAATTAAGTATCGGAGTTTCGTTAAAAGAAAAATCGGTATTTTGAAATATCATTAGGCTTGTTTATCTTCATTTCACTGTGGTGGTAAGTAATGCGTCGATAATTCGAAATAAACGCAATTTTATTTCTTATTGTTTCAATTTAAGTGTTTATTTAAATAGTCAGATTATAAACTACTAGCGTGTGAGACCGAAGGTCCTAAGTTCGAGTTTCATCTGTGGGATCGTGGATGTGCACTGCCACCGAGGAGTCCTATAATAGGACGGAACAACCATCCAGTGCTCCCAGGTTTTCAGTGGTGATCTAACATTGATTGATTCATAGGCTCAATGAAAAGTTAGAATTATTTTAACACAAGTTTAGTAAATTTGTGAATTGTAATAATGATGCAATAATATGATGAGCAATAATTTACAGTTTGGTTGGGCGCGAATGACCTACAAAATGTGACATCCACCAATCATTTATGCCATCTAATCACCCAATTTAGCTAATAATAATTTATTTCATTGGATAAAAATCTTATTCTTCTGATAAATTGCTCGTCCTTGAAGGTTTGAGTCAATAATCTTTTTCTCCCTGAGCAACCATCATGACGCTACATTTTATATTTCATCGACTGATTAACATTGGTTTAATTCATTCATTTCACAACTCAAAACTCATTATTCACATTCAGAATTTATCTTATTCGCATAAAAAAGATGATAATTCTCCCCATTAGGGTTAGTTGATTTCAGAAATCTTGGCATTCTGCAATAAACAGTAGGTGAATGGGTAGTTAATAAAAAGCATATTTCAACATATTCAAATAATGGACGAATGTTAGGATGTGAGAATTGATAAAATCTACAAAATGTTCACTTTGAGGAGTTAATTTAATACAATTGATATCATTATAAGCAAACATGGATAGTGGCTAGCAGTGGAATCCAGGACGCGTGTTTCGTCCTGTTTGGGACTCGTCAGCTGGATGTACCTGCATCTCAGAGTTGATGTTCACTCTGGGACTCGAACTCAGTACCGTTCGCTTCAAACGCCATCGTGTTATCCACTTGCTTGTGCAATGGGTTGAAGTTGAATTCACTTGATCAATTTCAGTCCAAAAACATCATTGGGAAGATACAAGTAAAACAATTGATATCAGTTTGCTTAAATAGTAAGAGACTTTAAGGTTCAATGTTGAATGTACTAGACAATGAGATAACTTCAAGATAAATAAAACCATTACCAATGATTATATAAATATTAAATCAGTGGATAACGCATTGTTGTTTTAGAGTAAACCTCTTTTCGTTTGAATCAAGTACACGTTCACAGCATATACATCCAGGTGGTAAGTCCTAAATACAACGAAACCGACGTAGTGAAATTCAATTCTAGCCATCGTTCATATATATTCTTAATACATATGAAGAAAAAATTAAGACGATGGAAGAAATCTTTCTCAATAGCATGTTAATTTTTTTCACCAACATATACACTCAAATGGAATAAATCATGATTTACTGTAGCCAGATATACGTCTATAGTTAAATTCATTTTAAGTAATATAATAAGGTTTTCAATGACGAAAATCAAGTATTGATCTTTGTTGAACAGCTATTAAAAACTCCATAGCTGTTTCACTCCTAGTATGAGACTGTTTTCCTCAGTGATAGTAACGACTCACGACCCAATCAAAACCAGTACATACGAACAAAAACAACAATTAGTAATCATGTTAACAATATATTTTTGTATATAAAAAAGATGGATCTTCATAACAAAACGTTCATGGGAGATAGCTGTGTATAGTGTTTTTTCTTCAAGGTTTGGAAATTAGGGGAGATAAAAAAAATTACAAAATAGGAGAATATGAGAAATAGTAAAAACTAAACACAATTCAATGCAGACTCGTGATAAGCTCATACATGCACATATATATATATATATACATATATATATATATATATATATAAATATGCTCACAACCAGAATAGTGGTAGCACTAGTGTAATCAACCGAATGGAAGAACACCATAAGGTAGGGAAAAAAAGATGGAGTAGTGATAGATAATAAAGCCAATTTAAATATGCAGCCAGTTATGTGTATTACATCATTATTTTGCAAGCGGTAATGCATAGAAAAAAAATTACCATGATTTATGTATTTGTGTTGTTTTGTTTCTGATTAAATACAACAACAAAAAAAGAAGGGAAATAGTCGAAATGACACGGATCGTAGGAATAGAGATAGATCCACAATTAAAACTATGATTAGATAATCCTATCAATATATGACAACATATAACAAGGCAGAAACAAAAAATTTCAATGTTACAAACACAAATATAGAGAGGTCGTGATTTTAATTCTAAAATAGAATTCACAATTGTATTAAAGGATAAGAAACATTAAAATATGAATAATACATATCTATACTACTAATATTACAATGCTATGGTGTCTATTTTGTTGTATGACGATAAGAAATCAGCATACAACCATATACAAACACAGTGTGTGTGTGTATGTTTGGGGAGGGAGGGAGGGACGGGGTGGGATAATTTGTCAACTCGTTGTATTAATGATCTGATAGCCAATAATGATGATATCAGTGATAATCAATTATGGAATAGAAACATAAGGGGAAGGGGAGATAGTTAATAGAAAAAGTCTATTAAAGGATAATATACAAATGTGTGAATAAGAAATACAACAAAGATAAAGATGAGTAGTAGGTGACTAATAGATTAACATGGTAACTTCAAGTAACATCAGGAGACAGGAATACAAAGTGTAATAATGTTATATCGATAGATGATATTTTTTTTAAAAAAAGATATAGAAAGCTAGAAATATGATTTTGGTTAAAAGCACTTCAATGGTTAATAATTTTTAGTATTAAATGAATAATTAATACTTCAGCAGTGATTGTGTTGGTTTGGCTTATTAAAAAAAAAACCCAGGAGAAATGAATAACATGTAAATGAGTATACTGAATTGAATTGAATGGAGCGGAATGGAACTACACAGCAGTTTGATGATTTTCACGAGTGATAAAATGAATAGGTTGGTTGTTAGGAGTAGTAGACATAGCAGCAGTATGATGTAATAGATCAGAATTATCACTAGTATTAGTAGTAGTAGTAGTAGCAGTAGTATTAGTAGTTGTATTAAAAATGCCAATAGTTGATAATTCTGGTGAAGCTTCTCTCATATGATGAATAGATTTTTTAGATATTGCACGATTACCAGAGTATTGACCAAGAAATGATGCTTCTTCATTAAAATTATCTGAATAAATAAACAGTACAGAATATAGATATAGAGAAATAAAATAAGGGTAATTTTAGTAGATTAAAAGGAAACAACATAAATCAATAGAGTAAATCATGATTGATTCACTTGGATATTCATTCTTATAAGAGTATCAATAATTAGTATAACAAATCATTGTTAGTTAGCTAAAAGTGATAAGAAGGTAACATAATTCATCCTCAAACACGACGACAAATGCATGCGTATTATTAGAGCATAAGAAATGAAGTAAATGTTAGAGCTTCTATTTTTAGTATAAGCGATCACACATGGGAATAGATAGATAGAGTATGATAAGATAGAATACTAATTTCAACTGAAATTGTCCACCCAAGTTTTACGTTTTAATTACCGGTTTATGTAGTATTATATAGATAGACATTATAAATTACACGTAGTCATCCAATTACGATGATCATCAAAAGGACATAATGACTAGAGATAGAATACAATATGAAATATAGCAGAAAACAATGTATCATATAATAATTCAATTTGATAAATAAATCATTTAAATATGTTGTATTTGTCACAAATTGATCTTAGTTGTGATATCATCAAAAAAGTAAACAGACTTAGATTATTAATCTTCCATGAAACTACTCTGCAGTAAGTGTCTATGTCCTGTCTACGGACTAATCCATGATCTTTAGATCTAGCAGTGAACGCTTAACGATTGTGGCCAATAGATTAACGTCTTTAAAGTATAGTGTTCAATCCCAGATGGAGTTCTAAGTGATCACAGATAAGAAATTTTATGCTAGGACAAAATAGTAAACCTGTAAATTCTAATTTACAATGGTTTGTTGACTAAGATCCACTAGCAACGCAAACAACCGCAAACATTAAAAAAACTTAGTTTGGGACAGTTTACAACAACAAAGGCAGTCTCTTATTTTAGGTGATTGAACCCAAGAATTTCAAACGTAGAGAAGCAACCATAATCTCTATTCCTAAAGTATTGGTCATTTTCAAGTTTAATCGATTTACCAGCTTCGTACATAAACAACACAGTTTTATTTGTGTATTACAAAGACGCTTTCACAGTTGAAACCACGAGTTTATCTCAACTAGACCATCAGTGAAAAACTGGAAGCACTGGACGGCCGTTTCGTCCTGGTAGTATGGGACTTCTCAACAGTGCGCCTCCACGATCCCGGACACAGCACTCTAAACTAGTACCTACGGTCTTGTGAGCGAACGCTTAACATTCAGACCACTGAGATATCATTCAACGGTGTTAATGTCTACGTTTACTCAGCTCATGATCTTGTGGAATCCTTCATCAATTGTTTGAAATGGATAATTGTCCCACAACCAAAATGGATCGGGCTCCACTTGTCACGACTTCTAACTGGAACATCAGGAATGATATCTCAAAGCTAGTCACTAGTGAACACGTCATTGTTTTCAGTATGAAAATTTGTGGAGATTGCAGTATTTTCATAGTTATACACCTCAGGTAATAGATGAAGGGTTCCACAAGACCATGGATTGATTAGAGTTAGATAATAATAATACCATTGGATGTCAGTCCAGTGGTCTATATATCAAACGTTCACACGCAAGACCGTAGGTTTTAGGTCCAAGTTCTGTATGTGGGATCGTGGACACGCACTGTTCAGAAGTCCCATACTACTAGGATAAAACGGCCGTCCAGTGCTTTCAGGTTTTCAACTGTGAAAACACTACAATCTCTATAAACTCCCACAATTTCATCCAAAAATTTCATCTTTAAAAAAAAATTTATATAGAAAATAAACCATCAAAGTAAACAAAACAATCCAAACAGAAAACTTCAACCATAAACTCAATTTCATGAAAATTAACCTTTAAATTTTATCTGTAGCCAACTCTAACATCAAAACTAACGAAGTAGTAGTAATCAGGGCCAAATGTTGTCAATAAATTTCATATATACGAAGTTTGTGTATAAAAAAATATGGTCAGTGAAATACAAGATATAAAAGTTTACGCTCCAATTATGTTATGATATGAAATAAGAGAAATAAAGTACTGTTATTGATTTGTATATTTAAATGGAGTTAACTAACAAGTTAATTTCAGTTCAAATGGAATTTTGTCCTCACAACTCTATTGCTAAGGTAATGGAATTTAAACTATTTTTTTTATGCTGACTGACTAAGGGAGAAAACAATGTAAAAACATTAAATGGGACAAGAAATTGATATAAATCTAAGAAAGTACGCTAAAAACTTCTGAACATTGATAAACAAGAGGGATCTGATGCAGATGTGAAGGTACGGATTGGTAAAACGAGGGCGAAATTCCTACAATTGAAGAACATATCGAATTTAAAATAACCATTAGCCAACATCAAAGTCCAAATCTTCAATCCGAATGTCAAGATAGTCCTACTGCACAGAGCTGAAACTTAGAGAACAACTACAACCGCCATCAAAATGTACAAGTATTTATAAACAATTGTCTACGTAAGATACTTCATATCCGTTCAACAAATACCATCAGCAACAACTTATTATTACAGAGAACAAACCAACTTCCAGCTGAGGAGGAAATAAACAAAAGACGTTGAAGGTGTATGGTGTATGCAGAAACCATCACGAAGCAAGCACTAACTCGGAATCCTGAAGGTAAAAGTGAAAGGGGAAAACCAAAGAACATATTGCGTCGGGGATTGGAGACAGACATCAAAAGAATGAATAACTCTTGGAAATAAGTGGAAAGGATTGTCCAGGACAGAGTACGATGGAGAATCCTGATTGGTGGTAACCTATGCTCCACAAGGGATAAAAAGGGTAAGTTTGGAAATCCTTCATATATATTACGTTTACAGGTCTTAATCAATCACTATGGGATTTGTTACATTAGATTATATTAAGATATAAATTGGACACAAATATTTCACATAAAAAAAGGATTTTTGACAAGAATCAGTAACCAAGTTTGGACTTGGTAATTTCGCATACATTATTCCATTTTGTAGAAAAGTTAGTATTAAATAAAATGATATTTTTGTGAGCTTTCTGACTTAGTGTAAGCCAATTAATCGTCTTTAGATTAAATAATAAATTGCATTGACAAGAGTTTAACATAGTACAAAGGAACAAAGCCGAATGTCTGATTATGTCAATGTCATGGTGTAATTTCGTTTAAAGTAGTTCGAAAAATGTACTTTCCAACTATAAGGAAAGGTAAACAGTTGGAGTTTTTCATATATCATGCTAAATTCTACTGTGAACAATAAAAATGGAAAGCCTGACTATCCATTCAAATTGAACTGTTTATTCAAACAACAACATATTTTATTCTCCCAGTTTCTTACACAACATTAGCACGAATTTTAGCTTTACTCCTTGTAAGATAGTGGTTGGAGGTAGCTGACAGGAAACTCTGACTGACCTAAGTTTCATGCTATTTAGGACTCGTTAGTAAGTTGTACCTGTAATATTAACGGAATTAATGGTTTGTGGAGGATTAGGTCCTGGTCATCCAGCTGATTACAGTGACGATGAGGAAATAACTACAGAATTTATTCAGTTCGAATAAAGGTTAAACCATAAATGATAAATAATAATAATAATTATTATTTCATCAAATTTATGTGATACTTTTGAAGAAATCGATTACTTCGCATTTGGCAAATGGTTGCTCTTAGATTGTCAATATTGAACACTGACAAGCAGCCACCCACGCTTAAATCAATGACCCTACTAATACTACTAATACAAATACTGCTAGCACAACTACTATTACTGGTATCAATTAGATAATGAAAAAGAAAATTAAATCATATCACAAGAAGAAAAAAAGTTTAAACAGAAAAGCATTCAGCCTCATCATTATTTTCTGTTCGTCAGTTCTTTTTATTTCATTTGATTCATCTAATTGTGCCGAGTCGTCGTTTGTGCGACGTCCCACAAACAAAAACACAGGAACAGGATAGACAGATGAATATATAAAAACCTATTGCTCATTCTCTGATGAAGAGCAATCATTTGATACTGACGACTAGAACGATGGTAAAAGTGTTGAGTCGATTCAGATGATAAACACACACGTGTGAACCGAGGGCCCTACAATTGAATTATATTTACATAACGTGTCTGCTAAAAGTACTACTAATTATGTTGATCAGTGTTTCATTTCGACCGGAGAATGCAATGCATTCAAACGCAGAGACATTGATAAATGATGATTATTATCAGAATTTATATTTAAACACTAATGAGTTATGAATAAATTATGTTTGAATAAATGCATACTTTAAAAAAAACACAAATGAATGTATATTTTGTTTTGAGCAGAGCCTACAGAAAGTACACATTTCCATTGTGATACGAATATTCGTAGCTTTTTGCAAGAGAACCATAACTGAAAATTATGCCTTATAAAATCTCTTCTTGAATGTAACCAACAGTTGTCATGTAGGTTCTAGCATCATGGGAAGCACCATAGTTTCCTCTAAGATTATGGAAATCCCTCACTGATAAATGTCAATCTAGCTCAGTGGTTGACAGGTTCAGCGTTCGCATGCTAAACCTAAGATCTTGGGCTTGATCTTTGACGGTGGAGTCGTGGATGTCAACTGACACTGAGCAGTCCCCATATTAGAACATAACAATTGTTCAATGTTTACAGATTCTTAATGGTTGTTTAACTTAGATTGGTTCGTGATCTTGGATAACATTCAATAATCCTCACAAATCACCTATACTGTTTTAAACAATAGAACACATAATTGTCATACCTCAATAATTACAATCTCGACATTAAAAAAGGCCTTACAATTATGCAAAAATCAATAAAACTAAGCATCATATAAGTGATGGTTAATATTTAGAAAAATGAAAAAGCATCGCGTATATATATGTAGGTAATCACTGAGACTATTGAATCGATAAAGGGATTCATTATAGAAGTTGTAACTGAACTAATACAACTATAATTGCTAAAATCTTAATAATTGAGACATCTGATATATTATGAAAATATCAATTGTATCATTATAGCAGATATTCATTCTAACCAATAAATGACCTTAGGGTTACGCCTATTCACTGCAACAACAAAGCCAAATATTGAAAATCCGCCTTTTACATTTGACTTTTTTTAAAAAAAAATAAATATTGCATATGTATATATGTGTATACACATATTTATATACATAATTTGTGATTACAGTAAGAATATATACAAGTGGTTTGTCTGTTTCCTTACTGGATTACAAACAGATAAGCAACTGAGGGTAGTGGAGTGAGGCAAATCAATGAGAAGAAACAAAATTTCTCTATAGGGAAGAGAAAAAACAATAATAGAACCATGCTTACAATATATATACTCCAATAATGCTAACTCAACAACAACTACTATCATTGGTAGTAGTAATAATAATAATAGTAATAATAATAGTAGCAGTAACAAGAAGAAAACATCACGCGTGCAAATCTCCT